TACCATTCTTTAACTATAAAAATGAGAAATGTGATCATTATTTATCATATCAAGTCACAATATTTGACTTTTTATCTTTTTTGTGAGTCCTGTAACGACTATATTTTTCATTTTCATTCTCAAAAAAATGATAATCAAACAAGTCCCAAGATTGTCATTCTCGAAACACCCATATATTGAACTTCTGTATTTTTTTTAAATGATGCTTAGTAATTATTGAAAACTAAAAATAAGGAAAGTTTGAATAACTTGAAAAGATCATATTCACTACAATATTATTGGAGTGTTCAATAAAATTATAAATATATTTTTTCAAAAAAATAGTATTGGATTTCACAAAATGTGTTGTTAATAATAATTGTGAATGTACGATTAAAATTAATATTTGATTTTGACTTAATAAAAAGAGAAATATGCTTCTTAAACACAATTATTTATATCATCTGTTGGTAAATTATTAATAGACATGTAGTACAACCGATAATTTCTTAATAACTTTTGATTGTACTCAACAATATTCTAATTATCTTATGATTCAAAAATTATATGTGAGAGATCAAGTTCTCATTATTTTTAAAATATTTTTTTTTCTTTTTTAATCACATATTATTTAATAAAATAATAATACACGTACATCTAAAACTTTTCAATCACGATTCTCTTTCGCTTATAAAGCAACAACACCACACAGATGAGCTTGTGATGTGCAGACTGCAGTCTTGACTGCACCTCTCTCCCTCCGTACCTCCGCCAACCCCCACCCTCTCTTCGATAGAGTGAAGCAAAATGGGAAGGTCTCCTTGTTGTTCAAAAGTGGGTTTGCAGAAAGGTCCATGGTCCTCCAAAGAAGACACTCTGCTTAAAAATTACATTCAACAACATGGTGAAGGCCAATGGAGATCTCTTCCTCACAAAGCTGGTAATTTCTTTTTCTAAATCATCTTACAAGTTTTTAGTATTTCTTCACTCTATAAGCTCATCAACTATATTGGTTTCGAAAGTGAGTTTTAGTCGACAGCTCTTAACGATTTTGCTGATGTTTATGTGAGAAAAGGGCTGCTAAGATGTGGGAAGAGCTGCAGGTTGAGATGGATGAACTATCTCCGGCCCGGAATCAAGAGAGGAAACATCACTCCCGAAGAGGAAGATATTATCACTAGACTCCATTCCTTATTGGGCAATCGATGGTCATTGATTGCCGGAAGATTGCCGGGTCGAACCGACAATGAGATCAAGAATCACTGGAACACCTGTATGCTCAAGAAACTCAAGAATTCAGGCATTCAACCAAAAATACACAAGCTTTCGATGAAATGCCTCAAAGAGAAAACCAAATCTATTGTGCCAGAAACAAGCATAACCAGAAATTTTACGAAGAAGAAAATTAATGATGACGGTAATGCTAAAAATATAGAAAGTAACGAGACTAAGACGCTCCATATTCCGAAACCCATTAGGGTTTCTTCGACATTTTCGAGAAGTAACAGCTTAGACAGTGTTTTGAGTGCTGCATCATCATCAGATGATAGTGGAGTGGACGAACAAAAGCTTAACCTGTTGTCTCTGTTTGAGCTTGATCGTGCAAATTATGGGGGACTTGATCAAGTTTGGGAGGAAGATCAAGATTTTCTCAGCACCTATGATTACCCACTTCATTATTCGGATTCTTCGAGTACTGCAGAAATGCTGGAGAAGATGTATGATGAATATCTTCAGCTGCTGTAGGAAAGTTACAACATAATTTGGCTATATGATAAGAAAATAAATAGTATATATGGTACTTTATGATTAATTGTTTTTTTTTTTTTTTTTTAAATGTAATCCATGTAATTATATGTTCTTAATGCGTTTGCTAGTTTCCATATACATCTTGTTTTCTTAAATTTTTTTTTTTTTAAATTACTTTCCTTATAACACTTTCAAAACTATCAAAATAAATAATTTACTTATTTCTAATTCTCAATTGTTTACACTTTACACTAAAGAGATGTCTCTATTTTGGAATTACTTTTTAATTTTTATATTTCTATTTTTTAAATAAATAAATATATTTTTGGAACTTTCAACATGGAGTAATTGGTGAAAACATATCGTTGTCCCAGACTTCTAAATCATTGATACATGTTCATTACAAGATTAAATATTTTTCCAATTCATTTTTCAACCATATTGACATCTAAACCCCTTGTTGACGATGATATTCATGAGTGTGAATAAAGATCTTATTATTGGAAAAAAGGAGGATGCTTTTCAAACTTTTATTCATTTACTCGTTTTCCACATACTAGTAAGATATACTTGCAATGCACGTGTAATGCTATAATTAAGTGTATAATAGCATAGAAAAGATATGATAATAATTAGTCAAGTTTTGTCTTTCTTGTTACTTGATAAGTTTTAGAGTTAGGAATATCAATATTTCTTTTATCGGTAAATGTAAAATTTTATAAATAAAAACTTCAGTAAAAGTACACCGAATAAGGTAAATAGATGTTCATATAGACATTGATAAAGCTTGAACTAAAAAAGAATTATTTATTTCATAAAACGAAAAGAATTAAAAAGAATTTTATATCGAACAAAAAAATTATTCTATAATATGAAGGAAAAAGAAATTGTTAAACAATTTAAAAATATATATAATAAATTAAACAAAAGAAAGTTATGAAAATTAAATAAAGAATAAATAAATAATATTTGATTAAAATTGAAAAAAAAAAGAAGCAAGTTTTATCATAAAGAGAAAAAAATTTAAAAAATTTCTAAATTGAAAAAAAAAATTATTTATAGCACGAACAAAACAAATTCAACAAAAAAAAAAAAAAAAAAGAATGGAGAGAATTTCTCCATGTGATGTGATGGAGGGAAAACTCTCAATGAGAGTATGATAGAGAGAAACTCTCCATTTTTTTCTTTTTTTTTTTAAATTTGTTTTATCCATATTATAAATGAATTTTTTTTTTGATTTAAATTTTTTTTCTCTTTATGATAAAACTTAATTTTTTCAAATTTATTTAAATAATAAAAATTCAAATGTTAGAACATTAAATAAGAGATAATTGAATAAAACGTAATTTCAAAAATTTAAGCGAACCGAATTGTAACACTATCATTTTACACTGATATATTAATAAAAACATAAATGATTTAACAAATTAAAGATAAAAAAAATTGCAGGCAAAATAAAAAAAAAAGTTATTATAAAGTTTTTTTAGATAAAATTAAAAATACATATTATTTAATTAAAATTGAAAAAATTACATTTTATCATAAAATAAAATAAAATAAAAAGAATTTTAAATCGAACAAAAATGATTTATAATATGAAGAAAAAGAAATTTTAAAACAATTTTAAAAAAATAATAAAAGCGAAACAAATTAAACAAAAGAAAGTTACGAAAATTAAATACAAAATATATAAATATTACTTAATTAAAATTGAAAAAAATAAGTTTTATCATAAAGAGAAAAGAATTATAAATAATTTTAAAATCGAAAATTTTTTTATATGATAAACAAAACAAATTGAAAAAACAAAAAAATAAAATAAAATAAAATAAAAAATGGAGGTCAAGCTCCATCTCTCCGTGTTATGGAGAAATCCTCTCCATGTTGGCGGAGAAAAACCTCTCCATAACACGAAGATCATCACACTATTTTTTTTAATTTGTTTTATTCATATTATAAATAATTTTTTTTCGATTTAAATTTTTTTAATTCTTTTTTCTTTATGATAAAACTTACTCTTTTCAATTTTAATTAAATATTATTTATATAATTTTCATAACTTTCTTTTGTTTAATTTATTATTATTTTTTTAAATTGTTTTAAAAAATTCTTTTTTTCTTCATATTATAAATATATATATTTTTTTATTTAAAATTCTTTTTAATTCTTTTCATTTTAGGATAAAAAGTAATTTTACCAATTTTAATTAAATAATAATTTTTTTAGTTTTAATTATTTTAATTTAATTAAAAAACTTTATAATAACTTTTTTTCGTCTTTTTTTCTTTGCCTGCAATTCTTCTATTTTTTCCTTTAATTTGTTAAATCATTTAGTTTTTTATTAGTATATTGATGTAAAATGATATTTAAAATTCCATTCGCTTAATTTTTTGAAATTATATTTTATTTCATTATTTCTTGTTCAATGTTTAAACGTTTGAATTTTTATAGGATGGAATATCATCTAAATACAATTGAGAAGGATAATCCTTAATATTAGAATTCTCAATTTTAGTCATTATTTTGATTTTTTCCATTTTTGAAAAAAAAAAATTTATCTCAAACATTAAGGTAATGAATGAATATAACATACGTTGATCAAGATTTAATTATTATTAATTAAATTATTAATATCTTTCTATAATTCATTTTATCATATTAATGGAATAAAACGGCGTCGTTTTACCATTCAACGTAGGGAAACAATATCATTTTGTACTATAAATTCAATGAGAAAATGACAAATAAATTTTTGATTAGAAAATCCCTAAAATAGAGAATATAGAAGAAAAAAAGAAGAAGTCTTGGTTGTGTGGAGAAGTGGAGTAAAGAGTGTGGATAGTTGTGTGAAAAAATAGAAAAGACAGAGAGAAAAAAGAGAAATGAAAATGATGGTTGCGTGTCAAAGTTAATAAAGTAGTATAACGTTTAAAAAAGGGGGAAAAATGGCAAACAGTAACTGAGCATGACTTTATAAAAACAATGCAACAACAAGTGCCTCTTTTATTTTAGTTAGGATATGATAGGAATGCTAACGGGGCGGATTTGGGACATTTTCCCGTCCTGTTACCTGTATAAGTTAGGGCGGGGTGTTTGTCCTGTTTATATATTGATTTAATTTTTTAATTCATTTTACTGTCCACGATCATTAAAGTGAGACAATAATATAGTTATTAAAATTTTTAATTAATTTATTTATTTTTAAAAGTTAAATTATTCAAAATATATTTGATAAGCTAAGGTCTTTATTGTTTATCATATTTCTTATATAATCTTAGTTGCCATATTCTATTAGAATTAATGAATTTTCGTGAAAATTTTCATTTAAAGTATTGAATTCTTAATTAAAAAGGGGTGGGGGCAGGCCTCTGTTACCCGTACTCGTCCCAGGTCTGAATCTCCCGTCCCATAAACGACTCGATTACTTGATTAAGTGGGTGATCCTCGCCCCGATTGAATATGACGGGGGTTTTTTGTTGTTGTAATAGTTTAGATACGAACTCATCTTCCTGGGCAGAATACGGTGTCTTTACTACTCCGATGATCCTGCAAAAAAGAGGCTAGGTTTCTTCCCCCGTTTTACCTCCTGCGTGTGAATTGGTGAGTGTTTGTAGATAAAGGATTTAAAGAACACTGAAAGAATGTCAGAAGAAAATATTTTTTGGAAACACATCCCATATCATTGAGCTTTGGAATGTAAGAGTAATCATCCCTTGATGATTAACGCAAATTCTCGCATGTCTCTCAAATAGCACTTCACATGCTTCAGATGTACCTCAAGTACAGTATGGTGAAATCTCGCTTGTAGAGGTGTCCATCGATAATGGTGAACATGGCTACTCGAATTTTCAGTCTCCTTGCCTCAAGTGCATCCTTTGGCAATTTGTCTTCCCCAAGATAATTGACTAGAGGGTCCATCTAACTTTTCTCATGCTCTATGAATGTCATTAACTTGTATTAAAAAGTCAGTTGGAAGAAATTTTGGCAAAATGTAGGCTAAGGGGCCAATTTCCAGATTTGAAGCCTATTTCTATTCGATTTGCCCCTACACGTGCACGTAGAGAGAATCTCTATACTATACATGATCACACTCTTCCAAAGTGCAATCCTATATAAAGTGGTATATACTTTCATAATTTTTTATGTGGGACAAACCTTAATTAGTCTCTCCAACACAAAATCCTTTCAATTGGTATACTTTGAGGTCCAATTTCTCATTCATTTGAACATTATTTTTGGCAAGTAAATATGTGATTTCGATGTTCTCACGGAGGAGAAGACAAATCAATTTTTAACTTCCAAAACAACCAACTGGGTCCCACTCAAATTTTGTGTCAAAGTCAACCACTCAACCCATTTTTCCAACAATTTCTGTATAAATATTTATTATTTTGTGAGTTACTAATTGATAATAAGTCAGTCCCAAATCATTATAATCACTAAACCCATCTAAATATTCATTAAACCGTCACGTAATCATAATGAAAATATGTCTCAGTTTAAATTCTTGGACACCGACTCAAGTTGGAAAGTAATTTATGACTTTATATGAGTTGGACTAACGAGGATACGTAACAAATACTGGAGAATGTCATGATTTGTGATCCGGGGCTAACTTAAGGATTAACTTACTCATTTTTTTATTTTTTAAAGTTGGGGACTAATGATAAAATTTTCTCTTGAATTTGTATTCGGTCTTTCATTTGTTGAAACCGTAGTACATTGTGTTCATAGCAATGTTTCGAAAGTCGCACTAATATTTTAATTACGCTAAAAGTTTTCAATCTTTGCTTATGACTCCACGTGTTCTCATTAATTTTTTATATTCTCTCCATCAATCTACTATTAACTTGCACATCTAATCCCCGATGAGGGATTCCATAAACTTATTTAGGTATAAGAGATAAGTATTCTAAATAAGACTCTTTATGCACTTCTAGCATACCTTTTGGATCGAAGTCATTCATCAAGAGTAAGATATTCAAATTTTACTAAAAATTTAATGAATAGAATGTGACTGAAACAGTTGACGACATAAATACAACAATGAACAAATATCAGAGACATTTAGTGCAATTACCCATTTTAAAGATTAGCTGTGCATCGACTCGAAGAACAAAAGGTTCAAATTAGGGTTC